CTGGGAGCCCAGCACTGTGATGTGGGGCATGCACATGCTTGCTTGGGCCTAATGGCTGCTAGAATCCCTGCCTGCCAGCCACCAAACCAACGTGTCATGCTCTGGCTGAGGCAGGGTCTAGGGAAGTATAGCCAGGTATCTCCACATCCCATAGGCATGCCTCCCCAACTCATGCCAGACAGGTAACCCCCAAGGATCTATTAACCTCTGCCCAGAATATACTTGATAATCTGAATCACAGTGGGTGATAGGCTTGCCTCTGTAAAACCAAGGCCTCCACTTGGCTGCTTGCCAGATATAGCATGGTGCTGCCAGTGTGGAGTGGGACAGCCATTGTCATGCCCTGTTTCAAGACACCATGAACATACATGTCCAATCTCAACCCTCTCACACCAGGCTTTTGCCGAGAGCAGAGAGACAGTGGTCTATAGGTAGAGAAGGGCCATGCAGGGCTAGCTGGAGATTGGGCAGCTGAGAACCCATCCTCAGGAGGTGGCAGGAGGCAGGGCCCCGAGTGAATTGAGGCTCCAACCCCTGGTACACACTGTATTGTCCCATCAGACTTCACATACAAAACACAAATTCAAGGGCGGCTGGCTGGTTCAGTCGGTATAGCATGCAACTCTTGATCTTGGGGTTGTGGGTTCAAGTCCCACAGTGAGTGTAGAGATTACTTAAAAATAAAAAATAAAATCTTTAGCTCAGATTTTATGGCTGTTAGTTAGGCATCTGCCTTCAGCTCGGGTCATGATCTCAGAATCCTGTGATCAAGCCCTGCATCATTGGGCTCCCTGCTCAAAGGGGAGTCTGTTTCTCTCTCTCCCTCTGCCCCTCCCCTGTTCATGCTCCCATATTCTCTTTCCCTCTCCTCAAATAAATAAATAAAATCTTTTATAAAAATAAAATCTTCTTGGGGCGCCTGGGTGGCTCAGTCGTTAAGCGTCTGTCTTCGGCTCAGGTCATGATCCCGGGGTCCTGGGATCGAGCCCCGCATCGGGCTCCCTGCTCGGCGGGAAGCCTGCTTCTCCCTCTCCCACTCCCCCTGCTTGTGTTCCCTCTCTCGCTGTGTCTCTCTCTGTCAAATAAATAAATAAATAAAATCTTTAAAAAAAAAAATAAATAAAATAAAATAAAATCTTCTTAAAAACCCCACAAATTAAAAGATTAAGCTATCAGAATTTCAAGATGGCTACCACAGAGCATAAAACCCCACAGGGCCCTTTTGAATGCAGGACCCCATACAGCTACACTGATCGTCTGACCATGAAGCTGGCCCTGTATACCCTATATTGTGGAATTTATAGCAATGGGGGAGTAAAATGTAAGAAGAGCACAAAGGAGGGCAAGAAAAATGGAAATATAGTATCCTAAATTTCTTACTTTATATATAAATTAGTACATTATTTGTTTTTTTTTAAGATTTTATTTTTAAGTTATCTCTACACCCAACATGGGGCTCAAACTCACAACCCCAAGATCAAGATCGCATGCTCCTCTAACTGAGGCAGCCAGGAGCCCCACTTAGTACATTATTTGAAGGGGAAAGATTAAAGTTGTACATTGTGAATGCTAAAGAAATCACTAAAAGAATGGAATTCTAAAAAATAGTGCAGAAAAAGCTGGGGTTGGGAGAGAGAAGGAAGAACCACAAGAACAACCACCACCACCAAAAAACCAAACAGAAACAGAAAATGAATAGCAAGATTGTACACTTAAATCTGACCATACTAATAATTATGTTAAATGTAAATGAGCTAAACTCTAAATAAAAGGCAAAGATGATCATACTTGATTTATAAAAAAGCAAGACCTAACTCTGCACTTCTTTAAACTGCACTTTGAATTTATTTATTTTTTAAAGATTTTATTTATTTATTTGACAGAGAGAGACCCAGTGAGAGGGGGAACACAAGCAGGGGGAGTGCGAGGGGGAGAAGCAGGCTCCCCGCTGAGCAGGGAGCCTGATGCGGGGCTCAATCCCAGGACCCTGGGATCATGACCTGAGCCAAAGGCAGATGCTTAACCGACTGAGCCACCCAGGTGCCCCTGCACTTTGAATTTAAAGAGACCTATCTGTTAAAATAAAGAGGTTCAAACACTAAAGTAAACATTATCATAAGAACCCTGGATTGACTGTATTGATATCAGACAAAGCAGACTTCTAGCCAAGAAATATTAGCAGAGATAAAGAGAAAAGATATTTCAAGCAAAAATGTAGTCAATTCATCAAGAAGACTGAACAATTCTAAATGTTCATGTACCTAATAACAGAGTTTCAAAATGTAAGAAGCAAAAAATGTCAGAACCAAAAGGACAAATGGACAAATCTGTAATTTTACTGAGGATTTCATCGCTCTTCATGAGTAATAGCCACATTGACAGAAAATTAGGAAATATATAAAAGACTTGAAAACCACCATTAATTAACTTGACCTAAGTGACATTTTAGAACACTACACCCAACAACAATAGAATATATATTCAAGTATACATACGATATTTACCAGTAAACCATATGTTGAGCCATAAAATAAAACTTACTGAATTTTAAATGATTGAAGTCAGCCTGAGAATGATTCTCTCACAATGGAATGTAATTAAAAATAAATAATCAAAAGATATCTGGAAAATGCCAAAATATTTGGAAATAAATGCTTACGTTATAAAAGAAAAAAGTTTGGAAACACTCTATCTTGGTGTTTTAAATCAAAACACGTTTTATTGGGGCACCTGGGTGGCTCAGATGGTTAACTGTATGCCTTCAGCTCAGGTCATGATCCCAGGGCACTGGGATCGAGCCCCACATCGGGCTCCTGGCTCAGCGGGGAGCCTGCTTCTCCCTCTCCCTCTGCCTCTCTCCCTACTCATGTGCTCTCTTTCTGTATCTCTGTGTCTCAAATGATTAAATAAAATCCTAAAAAAAACCCACGTTTTATCCCATTAAGTTTCAAGTTATTATTTTAAATTATTCCCCAGTATAATGCTCTAGGTTGACATCTGTTTAAATTATCTTACTGCCAGTCCTGCACAAAACGTACCATCCTTTTGTTTTTGTTTTTTTTTAAAGATTTCATTCATTTATTTGACAGAGAGAGAGCACAAGTAGGCAGAGCAGCAGAGGGAGAGAGAGAAGCAGGTTCCCCGCCAAGCAGGGAGCCCGACGTGGGGCTCGATCCCAGGACCCCGGGACCATGACCCGAGCCGAAGGCAGATGCTTAACCGACTGAGCCACCCAGGCGCCCCATCCTTTTCCATATTACATCCTCTTAAATCCTATAGTGAAATTGAATGTCATTATTCTACTTAATATCTGAAAAAAACCCCAATGATTTAAGGTTCTTTTTTTTTTGAAGATTTTATTTATTTATTTGAGAGAGAGAGTGAGAGAGAGAGAGCACATGAGAGGGGGGAGGGTCAGAGGAAGAAGCAGACTCCCTGCTGAGCAGGGAGCCCAATGTGGGACTCGATCTTGGGACTCCAGGATCATGACCTGAGCCGAAGGCAGTTGCTCAACCAACTGAGCCACCCAGGCACCCTAAGGTTGTTTCTTAAGAAGGAAAAAAAATAAACTCAAAGCAAGTAGAAGAAAATAATAAGATGTAAATATTCATGAAATAGCAACCACTGAACAACAGAGAAATCAATGAAACATAAAAAGTTATTTGAAACACCAATGAATTAATAGACATCTAGGTGGACGGAACAAATAAAAAAAGAAAAAGCACAAATTAGCAGTATGAGGAATGAAAAAGGGGTCATCACCACAGATCTTACATTAAAGGATATAAAGGATGATTATGAATAAATTTATTGTAGTAAATTTGACAACTTAAATGACATGGACAAATTCCTTGAAAGATACAAATTGCCAAAACAGACACAAGAAGATACAAGAATTCTGAGTATCTACATATTTATTTTTAAAATTAAAATTAAAATTTTATTTTATTTTTTAAAGATTTTATTTATTCATTTGACAGAGAGAGAGCACAAGCAGGGGGAGCATCAGGCAGAGGGAGAAGCAGGCTCCCCGCTGAGCAGGGAGCCCGATGCAGGACTCGATCCCAGGACCCTGGGATCATGACCTGAGCTAAAGGCAGACGCTTAATGACATGACTGAGCCACCCAGGCACCCCTAAAATTAAAATTTTAATTAAAAGCCTTTGCATTAAAAAAAACTCCAGGTCTACGTAGCTTCACTCATTAATTTTATTAAACATCCAAAAAAATAATATTAATCTTACACAAACTCTTACAGAAAATAGAAGAGGAAACATTTTCTAACTCATTTTATAAGACCAACATTACCCTGTTGGAAAACCAAAGACACTACAAGAAAAGAAAAATATAGAATAGAACTCATGAACATAAATGTGAAAGTCCTTTAAAAACATAAGCAAATAAAATTCACAAATACATATAAAAGATACTAAGTTATGACTAAGTAGAGTTTATTTATTTTTTTAAGATTTTATTTATTTGAGAAAGAGAGTGAAAGAGCACAAGCAGGGGGAGCAGCAGAGGGAGAGGGAGAAGCAGACTCCCCGCACAGCAGGGAGCCCGATGTGGGACTCGATCCCAGGACCCTGGGATCATGACCTGAGCCGAAGGCAAACGCCCAAACATCTGAGCCACCCAGGTGCCCCTAAGTAGAGTTTATAAGAGAATGCAAAGTTGCTTTAAATTTAAAAATCATTTTATTTATGAGATAAAGAAAAAAAGTCTTCTTGTAATTATCTTAGTAGATGCAAAGAAGCATTTGAAAAAAATTTCACACTTATTCATAATTGGGAAAAAAAACCCTCTAGCAAATCAGAAATGGAATTTCCACAATCTGATACATGGCAACTATGAAAAAACTACTGCAATATCATACTAAGTGGTAAAAGATTTAACACCTTTCCCTTAAGATTGGGAAAAAGGCAAGGATGTCTTCTTTCACTGCTTTTATTCAACATTTTATTTTATTTAGATTGGAAAAGTGCCCTTTCGGCTCTCACATGCTGGGGAACAAGGTCGTGAAGAGGAGGACTTGGTGTGCTGCTGCCACTTCTAACATCTTGGGTCCCTGCGCCTTTTGCAGAACTTCCAACAGCGCTACGTTGGGACAGAGCATCCAGAGGTTCACAACCTATGTGGTCCGTAGGAGCCACTGGGAGGAGGGCCTAGGGAAGAATTTGTCATTTTCAGCGGAAAACAAGTGCCAGTTATTAATTATGACAACTGTGTACTTTGGATCTGGATTTGCTGCACATTTTTTTTTTATAGTAAGACACCAGCTGCTTAAGAAATAAGGATGCTTTAATTAATTCATTAAACAGATGTGAAAAGGAACATTTAAGAGGTGCAATCTCTTTGAAAAAATGAATCAAACTCTTGAGTTCAACATACTCAATATGTTTGTAAATAAACTTATGGCATGAAAAAGAAAGGAAAGTAAAACAACATGATTGTATATGTAGAAAGTCCTAAGAAATCTACAATAACAAGGTACTAAAATTCATCAGGGAATTTAGCAAGGTCTCAGGATACATGGTCAATATATAAGAGATAATTTGTACTTATACATACGGGGAATAAACAATTGGAAAATGAAATGTAAAATAACATAAAAAGTTGCGTAAAACTCATGAAATACTTAGGGATACAAAACTTGTACACTGAAAATACGAGATATTGCTACGAAAAAAAATTAAAGAACTACTAAATAAAGAGATCCATCACATTAGTGAATTAGAAGATTCAATTTTGTTAAGACATCAAATTCTCTCAAAATTGATCTCTAGATTCAACACAGACCTAATCAAAATCACAGCAGGCTTTGTTCCAGAAATTGACAAGCTGATTCTCAAATTTATATGGAAATGCAAGGACCTCAAATAGCCTAAAACGTTTTCAAAAATAAGAAAGCTGAAGAACATATACTATTGATTTCAAGACATTGTAAAGCTACAGTAATCAAGACAATATGGGTTAGTGAAAGCAGAAACAAATGGATCAGTAGAACAGTACAGAGTCTAGAAATAGACCCACACTTATATAGGCAATTGATTTCCACAAAGCTGGGGAAAAAAAAATAATCTTTTCAATAGATGGCTTTGGAACAAATGGATATCTACAGGGAAAAAAATTAACCTTGACTTTTACCCACACCATTTACAAAAGTTAACTTGAAATATATCATAAGCCTAAACCTAACAAATAAAACTATAAACCTCCTAGAAGAAAAAAATAGACAAAAAAATCTTTAGGGAAGGAAAAGATTTCTTAGGACACAAAAAGCACTAACCCCTAGAGGCAAGAAATCGATAAACTGGACTTCATCAAAATTGAGATCTTGTGCTCTTCTAAAGATGTTTTAAAAATGAAACAGCAAGCCACAGATGGAGAGAATATTCAAAATACATATATCTAACAAGCACTTAAATCCATAACATATAAGGAACTATTACAAATGAATGATAAGGCTAACAACAGGATGAAAATATGCATCAGATGTGAATAGACATTTTACAAAAGATTTTATGAGTAGCCAGTAAGTACAATAAAGCACCTGAAAAGAGGTACACTATCATTAGTCATTAAAGACATGCAAATTAAAACCCAAGATACCACTACAGACCCACTAGAATGGTTAAAATGTAAAAGAATAATACTAAGTATACGAGTACCTGGAACTTTCAAACACTACTGTTGTAATATGGTACAACCACTTTGGAAAACAGTTTGGCAGTTTCCTATAAAATTAAACATATGATTGCCATATGAAGTAGCAATTTCACTTGTAAGTATTTCATGTGAAGGAAAAATGTTATGTTTACACACATACTTCTACATGAATATATTCACAGCCTCTTTATTCAGAATAGCCCAAACTAGAAACAACCAAAAGGCAATCGACAAGTGAATACATAAACAAAATGTAATATATTCATACAATAGGATATTCCTCAGCAATAAAAAGGAACAAAACCAACAATATGCACAACAACGTGGACATCTCCCAAAAACATGCAGAAACAAAAAAGTACATACAGTATGATTCCATTTATATGAAATTCAAGAACAGCCAAAATTAATCTATAATGAAAGAAAGCATTATAGAAAGCCCTGTCTAGGGCCAGGAGGGTGAGAACTAAAAACAAAAGAGTAGGGGCGCCTGGGTGGCTCAGTCATTAAGAGTCTGCCTTCGGCTCAGCTCATGGTCCCAGGGTCCTGGGATCGAGCCCCACATGGGGCTCCCTGCTCCGCGGGAACCCTGCTTCTCCCTCTCCCACTCCCCCTGCTTGTGTTCCCTCTCTCGCTGTGTCTCTGTCAAATTAATTAATTAATTAATTAAAAATTAAAAAAAAAAAGAGTATAAGGGAACTTTTTGGGTGATGAAAATATTATAATCTTGATTGGGATGGTAGTTACAAAGGTGTATACGTTTATCAAAACTAACTGACCATACACTTAAAATGGGTGCATTTTATTGTACGAAGTTATATCCTGGGGCACCTGGCCAGCTCAGTTGGTAGAGCATCCAACTCTTGATCTCAGGGTTATGAGTTCAAGCCCCATTCTTTCTCTTCTCCTTTTGAGACTCTAATTACACATATGTTAGATGATTTAATATTATTCCACAGGTTACTTGTGCTCTTTTCATTTATTTTTTTGACCTGTTTTCAAGTTCACTAAACATTCTAGAGAGCAAAGTCCAATCTGATTTGAAGTCCATCTAATAATTCTTATTTCAGATATTGTACTTTTCAGTACAAATTTTCTATCTGGTTCTTCTAACATTTCCATTCCTCTTCTGAAATATTCCATCTCTTCACCCATTATATATTTTTTCCTGTATATTATTTAATATATTCATAATAATCTTAAAGTCCTTGTTGGCTAATGCCAACAATTGTATCATCTTTAGGTTTCCTTTTATTGACTCTTTTTTTCTCTTCATTATGGTTCACATTTTCTATTTCTTCTAGTGCCTTGTAATTTTAATTTATGTATGTATGTATGTATGTATTTAAGTAACGTCTACCCCCACTGTGGAGTCAAACTCATAACCCCGAGATCAAGAGTCTCATGCTCTTCCCACTGAGCCAGCCAGGCACCCCCTAGTGCCTTGTAATTTTTAATCATATTCTTGGCACTGCCTATAAAAGAACAATAGAGGAAAAGATATACTTTGTGTTTGTTTTGCTTTATATATTTCTGAGATTATAAACATTCCTCTCTCTGGTAATTAGATTGAGGAGCTGATCATTCAGATTCCTCCTAGAGTCAAGTTGAGCTGAGGCTGGGTAGCAGGTCTTATTACAGGGAACTCACCTGGGATTAGCCCAACCTCTAACCTCCTGAGCTGCTGCTACCTTTTAAATATTGTCAATATTTGAGCTGGAAAAAGATGGCTACGGTTTCAATTATTTTTGGTTCAACCCTGGATTCAACCCTGGCAGGATATCACTGCACAAATATGTGGGACTATAAAACTTCTTTGTGCCTCCCATACCCCCTGCAATGCTGCTGTCTTAGTAAAAACTGGAACAGCAGATAATTATTGGGCCAAGTAGTTTGTTTTTGCATTTGGGATTCTTCCAGATTCCAATCTGCACTCCAATTCCAATTTTAGTATGTGTGCTGCCGAAGCAAGCACCACACTCCAATTCCAACAGTCTGTACTGTGAACTAAGACTTGGCAGATTTTCCCTTTTCTCTGGGAAGCCTCACCATCTATGCAGGGCCACCTGTATCCAGACTATATGCTTGTCTTCAGGTATGAAAGTTGTTATGGCTCTTTGTTCACTTAGAAAGGAATTCACTCTGGAATTCAGTTCATCAAAATTTCCTTGCATCCACAACTATTCACTAGCCTCAGAGAAATACGTGATTTTTATTTTGTCCAGGATTTTCTTGTCACTATGGGAACAAATGTTTTTCAAGTTCTTATACATCCTAACTGGAAGAGGAAGTCTTAAAATGTTTTTAATGAAATAGAATAGTGAACAGTAGTATAAATCAGAATACACTGCATGAAGGTAAGAGTAAGTATTGCTTCAGAATGTTTGTTTCAGAGGGGTGTGCGTGTGTGATGGGTTGTACGTGTATTTATCATGGTGAGGTGTGGTCAAAAAATTTGGAAAGTCTGTCTATAGCCATTGGAGTCCACTTCGATGCAAGGCAAAGAGTTTAGAGAAAGGCTATTAGGACATGAATCTCTAAAGAGAATTGTCTACTGCTAGCTGAATTTCAGGCACTGAAACAGTTCAGAAACATAAGGCTTTTACATATCAACACAGAACAAAGTATGTCCCTGGAAAAAATACACAAAGCATAAAATATCACAATAGGCAACTGCTGTTAGAGAAGAATAAAATACATCCAGATATTTTAATAACAAACAGCCTTTGGTTTTTATTAAAGCCAGTTTCTGGGCCTCTGTGCTATAATTCAATGTGCTGCTTACTGATTGCTATTATTAGATTAAGAATGCAAAGAAAGATTCTGGAGAGAAAATGTGCTCCTTTTATATTTGGCTTCTTTAATAAAAATATTTTTTAAATTTCTTTTTTTGGAGTGAGGGAAGAGATAAGAAGATTCTCTGAATGTAAGAAAGCTATTCCTAGGTGAAGAGAATAGATCACCTTTAACTCAGCGTCAATGAAACAAACCAAAGAAAAGGCATGTTTAGGGGTGCCTCAGTGGGTTAAGTGTCTGCCTTCGGCTCAGGTCATGATCCCAGGTCCTGGGATGGAGCCTCATGTCAGGTTCCCTGATCAGCAGGGAGCTTGTTTCTCCCTCTCCCTCTGCCCCTCCCCGCACCTGTGCTCTCTCTCTCGCTCTATCTCAAATAAAATCTTTTTTTAAAAAAGGCATGTTATAAAACATAGGTAGAGATCATAGTATTTATATGGGAGGCATCATGGTACAGGATACAAACAAAGAGTGCAGGCTTTGGGGCCAGACACCTGGATTCAAATCTGCAACTTACTTGGTGGTGGGCCTTATACTCTTAGCCAATCCAAGCCTTACTCCATAACAAGGGAATAACACACACCAGTAGAGTTATTAGAAGGATCAAATGAAATAATATATAAAGTCTCCTGTACAAGGTAAGTGCCCATGAATAGTTACGACGTTACTGTCACAACTTCTTTAAATATTGTATGTATATAAGTGTCAGTACACATCCTCACCAATCTAACTTCCTGAATGTCTCTCTCTTTATTTCTATCCCTGTTACAACAACCTCAACTGATGTACTTATCATTCTTCTCCTAGAACTACCATAATATAGCCTCCTCTA